CCTGAATCACATAGCGAGACCCTGTCTCAAAAAAAAAAAAAAAAAAAAAAAAAGGAAACTTTAGTTGAGTGTATTCACACTGTAATTACACAAACATTTCCTATAGTTGGTCAGATCAGTAAGAATGTAGTAGTTACTCCCACATCATTCCCATTTGTCAAGTTACTCAATTGAAATGTAAAACTAAACAGCCAACAAGGATCTGATTCTGAGGCAACAAACTTCTGTTTCAATTCTGTTTAACCTATGTGCAAGATAGTATGAATTTGAACAAATTACCTTTCTCTGCTTCACTTACCATATCAGTAAAATGGGTCTGATAATAACTGTACTTATGTCATAGGTTTGTTATATGGATAAAATCAGTTAAGATTTTCACTAAGTACGAAAAATTAATGCTCATGTTGGAGCTACAACTTGTCAAGAGCATATCTTTTTATGTTAATTTATTTTATTATATTTTTGTCTTTTTGAGACAGGGTTTCACTGTGCAGTTCAGGCTGGCCTTGAACTTTGTAGCCCAGGCTGGTCTCAAACTCACAGCACTCCTCCTGCCTCAGCCTCCTGAATGCTGGGATTACAGACATGCGCCACCACACCCAGCTAGAGCATGTCTTTTTAGATAGAAAAAAATCTCAAAGCTTTTCAGCTGTGTCTACCAAGGATCGTGTTTACTGGTGTAATTGCTGAGTAGATTCTCTAGAGGAAAATAGGCAGTGTTCATGATAGCCCAAGTTGAGGAGGGGTAGGCGTGTGTAGGTGAAGCACAACACCAGAGGGTGGTAGAGTGCACTCTAAAATGTAATGATCTGGGAGACCAGGGCAAACATAGCAGGAGATAAGGCGAAAAAGATGGCAGCACTTGGAAGCTACTGAAGGGTTTGCAGCAGGAGAGCCATTTGGCCAGGTATATTTCGGCTGCATACCACAGCAAAAAGGTTAAGGATTGTAGTCAGGTTGGCAAGACTGGAAGCAGGGAGATGTCTTGACAACTATTAATGATTTTCATTCTTAAGTCATAGATGTTGCATGATGAACATGTATTAATTTTGTAATAAAAATACATAAACTTATTTTGTAAGAAATCTACTTTTGGAGTAATTTTCTCTATGATATAGTCCCAATTTTTATGAAATCTAAAATTAAAAACCCAATTGAATGATTTTTCATTTGACACATGACCTCATTGCTCAACAAAAAGAGTCATCACACATTTTCAGTAAATAATCTCTACTGCATTACCACATATGGTCTAATGTAGGAAAGACATCAGTTTTATTAAGCAAATTAGAATTAAAAAACAACTGTATTACCTAGCCAAACATACTCTGCTAATTTTATAGTTCCTCAGCCCTACATAAGTCACAAAAATATTCCTACCTTAGGGTAGCATACTAGCCTGGAGCAAGAAGCTCTAGGAAACTAGTAATGAAAATTATGGTTTACCAAAGAAAGCTTGACAGACTAATTATACTCTCATTTTATCTTTCTCTAACTCTATTTAACAACTGTTTAATTCCAGGTATGTTGAATTTTCTGTTGGTTTGGTTTTTTAGTCATTTTCAGTATAGTAGTTTAGGAATTAATTGGACAGCTATCAAACAAGGGACAAATCTAATCAGCAATTTTAGTATATTTTGCCTTGGGAATATGTTACTGGAATATTTTTTAAACTTAGTGGGGATAAAAGATTTAAATCTCAACATGACAGTGTATTCCTTGTTACTGTGCTTTTTATACTGATCATGTAGAATGGAGTTCTTTGCTGTTACCTGTACACTAGGTTATGAAAAATACGGTTTTTAACATCCACTTAATCTGAAATACTGAACCACAATGGTCTCTTTAGTATATATTTAAATGATTATATTAATAATACATGAGTAATGGGCAAATTTATTTCTGTAAACCAGACTGGGAAAACTGGAAAACATTACAGACACCCTCTAAAGCATGAAAAAACAAAACTATTTTCTAAATATAAGTATTTTTTAATAAATGCATATTTAACTGCCTTCAAATAGGCATACTTGTTTCACATGTGAAATTGAGATTCTGTAGTCTGTTGCTGGATGTTGTAAATTCAATATAAATAACAATGAGGAAACTACATATGGTAAGCTTGGGATTCAGAAATTGGCTTTAAGATTCTCAAATAAATAAGACCTTCTTTGAAGGCACACAGATGTATTAATTTTTAATTTGTTTCTTTTTGATCTCTTAATTACTGAAAAAGATTTATTGGTTAATTTTAAGAAGGCAAGTGTTTGGAAAGTTTTGCCAAGCGCTGCCTTCTTTAAATGACTGTATGGTAATGAAAAGTTAAGAGGAGAGCCAGATTAGATTGAATAATTGTTCAGTCATGTGGGTCAAACTAGCTGCATAGCCTGGTTGTTAGACTGATTGCTCAAATTACATTGCCTGGGGTCCTGCACTTGGTTGGCTGTCTTCTCAGATCTTAACAAGGTTCTGGGAATTTCTTTTTCTGACAAAGTTTGCTTTGTATTTTCCCCCTCCCCCTACCACCTCCAGGATGCTTCATCTGCAGACATCAGAAAAGCATATCGTAAGCTTTCACTAACTTTACATCCAGACAAGAATAAAGATGAAAATGCAGAAACTCAGTTTAGACAAGTAAGTGAAGTATGCTATTATATATACTTTTGTGACAGTTATATTAATAAATATGTTTATGGTAGAAATATTAACTTACATGTGGAACATTTTCTACCTGAAAATGAAGTCATAGTCTACAAATATACATATTTTAATTCAATTTTTAAAATGAAATTCATTTTTACTAGTGTTCTGTATAACTAGAATCTTGAAATTCTTGAAGGGGCATAACTGTCATAATTTCCTTGTCTGAATTTTTGTTTTTAAGAGATATTTTAAGATAAATTATTACTTTTGCATCTTTCACAAATTCTTGTTTTGATATCAAGCATTTTTAAACCTCTTATCATGCTACCAAAAACATAAAATATCACTTATAACTAAGATTTTCTCGGTTTATTGCATATATGGGCACATAGAATTTTCTACACGTGCGTTGTAGAGCCCTCACGCTCCTATGTGATTTCCTATAGTTGAGAGTATTTTTATTTTAAAGTAATGCTTCTATTTTAGTTGGTGGCCATTTATGAAGTTTTAAAGGATGATGAACGAAGGCAGAGGTGAGTGTTCATTTGCACTTTTGAATTGATGTTATAGTTTTGTGCCACAGTTTTAAAAGGAAAGAATTAAGTCTCATTAAACACTTTATTTCTTATAAGTTAGTATTTTTGTTCCTTCCAAGAAATGTAATGTTTTGCAAATGTATGTTTAGAGCAGAGTTAATTTCTATTGAAAATATTCAGTAGGTTGATTCAGAACTTACAAACTTTAGGATCATGAGTCATAATGTTAGTAAGTTCTGCTTCATTAGATAAGATTTTTAACATGGCTGTTTATGCCCTGGGAAATACAAATACCTCTTGACTTCAAACAAATGTCCATTCTTTTCACCATGTCAGTAATAGCTCCTATCTGGGCCTGGTGGTCTTTTTCCCCCTCTATTCCTTAAAATTACCCTGTTAGCAATAGGCAAGTTAGTATATTTTCTTGATTGTTTCCTCGTTCTCAAATGATTTAACCCAGTTTGTGAAAAAGCAGATAAACCTGTAGAAGAGAGGAAGCAAAATAGTCACCTCTTTCTGATTTCTTTTGCCTCTTTCCCCTTGTTTACTTGCTGCAGTGATTCTGTATTTAGGGTTAACCCTGAGGGGGGAGGCAGCCCTCACTGTCAGGCCACTGTGTGCCTTTCAGAAGGGTGGTCCTATATGTTTAGTGAGTAGTTCACAGTGCCAGAGCCTGAAGAGGAGATTGCAGAGGGGCCCCTTGCTCCTGTAGAATGTGTGGAATGTAGATACAATTATAGGGGCTTCAAAGTTCTTTAAGTCAGACCCACAGTAAGAAATACATTTTCACTTAAACTGGAAAGGAGAAGTTTCACGAAACATTTATTGCACATGAAACAGACTGATAGTTCTAGTCTGGTGTCTAGTCTTTTTCTCCTCCTCTCCTCCTTCTTCTTCCTCTTCTTCTTCTTCCCCCTCCTCCTCCTTCTTCTTCTCTTCCCCTTCCCCCAAACAGTGTTGGTTGTGGTCCCCAAGAAACTAGTGGCCACAATCTAAAATTTGAAAATACTGCTCTACAGTAAAAGAATACTTATAAAACAAAGCAAAAAACCCAGATGTTTGAGATTTAAGCTTAAGTCAGCCTGTATCTATGGGGCAGTTTCAGGACAGAATGTTGTACATGGCATTCTGAATCCTTCTTCAAATGTATTGTCTGAAATTAGTCTGTATCTTAAAAGGTTAGCTACAAGTCTTGATTCTCATGTAATTGTTTAATTTGAATATACCTCAGTTTGTCAAATTGCAAAGCAAGGGTTCAAGATATTCTCTTGGAGTATTCTTTGCTTTATAACAAGGGCTGGCATTGGTCCAGGTACCATAGCAGACATTCCTCTGGTTTGAGATAATCTATAATGTTGAAAGAGTCCTAGAAGTGTGTTGAAAGAAGTTTTGGTCGTTCTGTGCATATTTTCTAGTTGCTTTCTTTCATTGAGCCCCTAGTTTTGTTTCACACATCTGGAATGTGTCTGTAAAGATAGCCTTATTTAGTCTTCCATCATCTTTGCCATCACATTTTGTCCTTTTATTTGTTGATATTTTAAAAGTCAGTAAACTTTGTGACAATTTATTTCTTTTAACTGAAATTACTTTGATCTTTTTTGAGCAAATCACTTCCTCTGTATAAATTATTTTTTCTTAACAGACTCGTCTAATATTATCTCTGTAGGATTAGTTCCCTCTGCATTTATTTTAGAGTGTGGGTAGAAAAAAATGGATCTGACAGTTACACAAACAGCTGTAGTATTTATACCCCTTGAGGCCCAAGTAACTCTTTGGTAACTGGTTTTCCTTGAGGCAAAAGTCTTAACTAATCAAGCTGAGAATCACTCCTCTAAAGCTGTGCCTGAGGCCAGGTGACCTGTGAGTATTTAAACATATAGGAGAAAGACGTCTCTGCAGACAGTTACCTAGGTTCCTAATTCCTTTAAAAAAGAGCACAGTCAGCTTTGTCTTCTAAGAGAATGTTGTCCTACATTGGTATTAAAAATGCTTTTTAATATCATAATTGTTTATCATAAATATTCACTGGATAAGTGCTTTTAAAGTGTAACCTTCCAGGAATTTGCAGTTTGGAAAGTTGGTATAGACATTTTTTCTATTTATTTCCCTTATATAGTTGTGCTTTCACTGAAATCAGATGTGTTATTCACATTTTGTTAGATGGGGAAGTAACAATGAAATTTACTAAGAAACTGGATAACCTTTTGGTTTTCTTTTTTCTTGATAACCTTTCTTTTAGAAAAAGTTTTATCTTTGTAACAGACTTAGTTAGGTATAAATGCATACTATAAAAGTAAAGTGTTAAGTGTACAATTCAGTGATTTTATAGTAAATGTACAGAGTCATGGAAAACATTGCCACAATCCAATCTTTTGAACATTTCCATCACTTCAAAAAATTCCCCCAAGCCCATGTGTAGGCAACCCCAACTCTGGTCCTTGTCCTAAGCAAACACTTAGCTACTTTATGTACCTATAAATTTGTCTTTTCTGCACTTTTCATGTAAGTGGAATTATGCAGTGTGTCGTTTTCATATTGTTTTTGAGGCTTATTCATATTGAAGGCTGTTGAAGTGGTCTATTCTTTTTTATTGCTAAATAGCATTTCATTTTGTGGCTGTACCATTTGTTTATCCGTTCACCAGTAGATGGAGTAGTGGGTTGTTTACACCTTCTGGTCATGATGAGCAGTGCTGCTATAAACATTCACATATCTGTCTGTGTGTGGACATAGGTTTTCACTTCTCTTAGGTAGATTCCCAGGAGTGCAGTTGTGAATAAACTTTAACACCGCCCTTCCCTTTCTCCAGAGACATTGACTGTAGCACGAAACTAACAGGTTTTCCTGGTTAGTGTAAGAAAACCTAGCATAGTAGCCTTTCCTAAACTTCCTGAGCAAGCTTGCTTAGTTAATGGAACAGTCCAGCTATGTTCCAACATAAATTTCTAAACAAAAAGTATAGAACTGACTTTAAAGTATTGAATACTGGTCATTACATATGTACACTGGATTATGCTTTAATAATATCAACATACTTACTTTTACTAAAATCTGTGATAAGTTTTGACGAATATTCTTTTGCTAATCTGATTGTGTTTTATGTGTTACTATATTTGTAAAAGATATATTTTTTAGTTTACTAAATAATGTTTTATTCATAAATACAGTTCATTAGCCTTGAACACCAAAAGCTTTTATAAATGCATTACTATGTTATTGTAAATTTGGTTACAAATGTGTTCAAATCAAACAGTAAAATGAGAGTAAGAAATCTTACTTTTGCACATTCCCTAATTTGGAGACAGGAGATACCTAATAAATATGGTATATAAAGTCCCATGTACCCCAGTTTTTGACATATATGTATATTTTTTAAAAATGTGAGATCAGTTAATTTAGTCTTGTTTCTTATTTATGATCTTTCTACAAGGAATTTTTACTGGAGGGTTTAAAATACTACCTAAGTGCATATAGTGTCATTTAACAAGCTTTGTATGACAGACAATTCACAATTTTGGCAACTGGTAGAATTATTTATTAATTTTCATAATACACAAATTTTCCATTTTACTTATTTCATTGCTATTTTATATTTTAAATTATGCTTACATTTTAAATTTACATAAATATGCTGGTAATTCAGAATGTTTAAAGTTCACTTTTTTCCAGTATTTATATTAGGCTGTATATATTTGATGAAATGCAGATTCTAATGTGAACTCATTAATAATTATACAACCATTATTGTATGTTTAGTATGTACATTTTAAGAAAATCAAGTGAAATAATCATAAGCTAGACCATATGTTAGATGTGTGGAATTGATCAGTTAATGTTTTCATTTTTAAGAAAATCCCTTTATAGTTGCAGAGGATTTGTTTCATTGGTGGTATTTTCATCATAGAGATTTACTTCTGAGTATCTTATAACACATTTATACATTCATACATTCTCAATCTGGGCTTAACACATTGTTAAAAACACATAGTTTAACACATAGTTAAGAATATAGTACATATTTTTGTGGTACTGGGAAAGCACAGTTTATCTCAGTTTTTTGATACAGACATGTGCTTAAATATTAACAAAATATAATAAAGTGATGTTTTAAATTATTTGTTCCCAGAACAGTGTTTTTTCTTAAATAATTTATGAATTTAGTTTCTATATTTTAATGTATTTATCTTTTTGGTGTATCACCAAGGAAGTGATAATTTATCTTTTAACAGCATATATTCTAAAAAGCAAACTATAATAGATGTTATCTTCCCTTAAAATGGCCAATCGTGTGAGCCATAATGTTCATTGATAGTAAAATCAATAGAGCATTGATTCTGAGCTTAATTCTTAGACACTGTTGTTCAGAGTGGCAGTCATAGCCTGGTAAATATCTGGTTCTGTTTAATGTGTTTGGTACGTGAGGTTTTGCAGTCTTGAATGGTTGTGCACTAAATACAATTTATACATGAGGTAGAAAAATAGTAGCTATTCACAGATACCATTTTCAGCAGTGATGGTGATAAAATATTTGATGAGCTTCTTAACAAAGCTCAACTGTGCTTTCTTCTGATACAGTTTAGATCCAAAACAAATTTAATATTTAATAATGTTGCTAGGTAGTTGTGTTTACTTTGAGATTTTTAAAATTAATACTTTTTACATGAAGTTAGGAGAAAGATTTGCTGAAACTAGTAATTTTTATATTCATCTTTTTTTTTCCTTCAGATCTGCAGTAGGATAATGATTTAAAATAAATTTGAGATTTAACATTCATTGGACTTCATTCAAATGTTGTAGTCTTGTCTTACATTAACTGAAACCTTTGTACTTACCTATGTCTAATTTTAAATAGCCAGTTTTTTAAATAGCCAGTTTTTAAAAGATAGATTGAAACAGAAATTTTTGAGGACAAAAGTAATAGTTTTAAATGAAGTCATAGCATGATATGGTGAGGTTACTATTCAAGAATTGCTACAAATGCTGAGAAAGGATACTATTTAACTTCAAATTTCGTCTGACCCTGTTACTACACAACCATATTTTAATTTGTAGACTCTTGTAAAATACAGGTTGCCTTTTAAGAGTTTAGTACTAATTAATGTCCTTTGCTTTTAATATTTGGTTATTCTGATTTAATAGTGTTATTAATAACTTAAGTCAATTTAAGTCATTTTAAAATTCGCTAATAAAATATATTTTGCATTAATAACCAGTGTTTTTCTACTGAAAAAAGAAGTTGCCTGTAATAAACCTCTGCTGTATTTTTTTTAGCATATCTCCAAGGTATCAATTTAATAACTATCAAAGTAGCTACTGCAGTTGTTGCATTTAAATTGATTTACATGTCAAGACTGGCAGTTTAGCAGCTGCGCTATTATTCCTAGATCGGTCAATTTACTTGAGAAAAACCTACTACTGAGTTCTACTGACCTGCCTGACAATATAGGCCCTATTTCTATTCCTGTAATTAGGCCTGCGACTAACTCAGAATATTTTTAATTAAAATATTTTGGTCAATGTGTTGCACCAAATTAGGCCTTTCAGTGAAGATTTAATTCTAGAAATAGTGTGATTAGAATATTTAATGAGTTGTATTCAATTAAGATTAACAGGTTGTGTGTGTTGAACATACAGTGTTTGTGTAACCATTTTGAGTTTAACAATCATAAATGTTACTCTTTATTTTTAACCTTAAAAATATTTCCCTCAACTGACAGGTATATTTAAATTCAGTTAAAATTTTTTTTTAAAGTGTTTCCTAGCTTGATGGTATCAAGAAAGATAATTAAAATGCATTACAGTTAGAGCTTTTACTTATTAATATTCTTCCCTTTTAACAAAAGCCAAAAATGAGGAAATTACTACTTAAATATTTACAGATAATTTCTTTGAGAAATATGGCATAAGCATTAGATGTTTCTTCATCCTTTTCTAGTTTTGGAATTTTTTGTTTTCTAAAGGAAAACAATACAAAAACAATACAAAATCAAAAGGCTTTTACTTCATGAATAAGCTTTGAAAAAAATAATGTGTATAAATATTTCAACCCGGAACCACCATATTATGAGAGTAGAAATAGAAGCACTGACTAAAATTTGAATCCTGAATTTGGTCCAGGTAATGTGTAATTCATGGTATCAAATAGCTCTGGTCTTGCTTTTTCTCCTGTTGAGTACTTCCTTTCATTGCTAACTCTGTGGTAGGGTTTTCTCCTGCAGAGTGGTAGACAGGTAGATCATAGGTAGTTCCTTTGTTAAGGTGTCATGGCAGGGTCACATCTGTAAGTGATCTGGGATCCACCATATCACTACGTACTTTTTTGAAAGGTGGGCCACATATGTGCTTTGAATTTACTATATAGTACAGTGCTGGTAATCTACATAAATGTTACTCTTTGGGAGAAATTTTCTCTTTCCTCTTTGAAAATATAGTACAAAATTTTTGTTGTTGTCTTTTATTTTAAACTCCCCATGAAAAACTGTTATATTTGCTACTGTAGGTATGATGATATTCTGATCAATGGACTTCCAGATTGGCGACAGCCTGTATTCTACTACAGGAGGGTGAGAAAAATGAGCAATGCTGAGCTGGCATTACTCTTGTTCATTATTCTCACAGTGGGTCATTACGCTGTGGTTTGGTCAATCTACCTGGAAAAACAACTGGTAAGTATTGGTGATAAATCAAATGATTTTGCCTCCTTCATTTTATATGGAATGTAAGACGTTTATTTCTCAAGTGATAAAAATTTCTATTTCTCTACATATACTCTTCAGTTGAATAGTTTTTTATATTCAATAGTGTTTATCTCTTAACTCAAAAAAACCAAAATATTCTTCTTTTTAAGAATATGGCATTTAATTTTGTTATAAAATTTTGTGAAAGTCCAGCTATTTAGCTGAAAATTAGAAAGTAGAACCATGTTTTCTTAGTTATCACCTTCCACATATAATTATTAATATGACTCATTTAGAAATTTTTTGTCACAGACCCTCATATAATATTTGCTTTTAAAAAGACATTTCAATTAAATAAGATTTGAAATGAATATATTGTACACCTTTGGAGAACAGTTTAGTTAAAAAATTATACTTTTCTTGATCTAATATGCTGCTATGTAGTTTATTCTGTTTCTGTTTGATATTTATTTGTGTAAAGATAAACACATTTATCAGTGTTCATGAATTAGCATCTGTTTTCTTATTCCTTTTGAAGTGACATTATTAAAGTTGCATGAATGAGAAAAAGTAAGTTGAATGCTTTCTCTTAGAAAACTTTGATTGCTATGGAGATGCACATGACTGACAGTGCTGAACTTCATGTGTGTTTAAGGCCTGGATACCATGGCAACAGTTACTGTGAAAGATTGATGATTTTACTTAATCATGTTGGACCATACATACATTTGCATAAATGTTCCTCTAAAGTGTTTACCCTTCACAGAAGAATCTTGATAACATTTGAAGAGCACATGTTTAATGATAACCTGTAGCCGTGATTCTTTCCACATTAAGGATGAACTGCTTAGTAGAAAAAAGAGAGAAAAGAAAAAAAGAATGGGAGGCAAGAGTGTGGACGTATCAAAACTGGGCGCTTCAGAAAAAAATGAAAGGTGGAGTAAATAAAAATTTATGATTTGAAATTTGTAAAGTATCTTTATATGTACATTCGTTGCAGATGTGTTCTCATTACATCTATAGTATATAAAGACTAATGTACCATAGTTTATAAGATAAATGCTAATCTTAAGTAAAATTCCTAGAATTTTTCTCTCATAAAATGTTTATATATATATGTGTGTATATATATATTTAAATGATATAAAATTTTGGTTACTTGTAGCTTGAGGTTTTATACTGGAACTTTAGAAAAAAAATGATTACTAGAAGAATCCCTTAGCTGAGAAGTGACAGTGTGTACAGAGGCAGTGATACGCTGTACACTCAGAAAGATACCACCATTTCTTCTATTGATTCCTAGAAAGAAATAAAGGGTTTAAATAGTTCACACAGCAGGGCACAAACTGGATCAATGTGGGACAGAGAGCAGAGACTATTCTGCCTGTCTTCTATTCTGATGACATCAGTGAGTAATGCTTCAGTGAACTGCAAATGACATTGATTTTTATGTATTGGTTTGTTTATGCTACAGTCTTCATATCTGGTTGTCAGCACTTGAACACTCTGACGATGTTAGTCTTTAATAGCTGAAGTGATCATGAGGTTTAAGAACTTGTTTTGTAGAAGTGATGAAAAGCCGAGATTAGAAAGAGAAATTTTGCATCTTCATCTTTGGAACTTGACTGAGAGCCTCCTTTCCCAAAATTTTAGCCTATAAGCTATTACTTGCTCTATATATTGCCTTTGTTGTAACTGCTGTATTTCATGAAAAATTAAATCAGATTAAGTGATAACTGTCATAAATATTTCACTGAATACTTCATAGTTTGTTGGTTGTGAAATAGGTATTCAAAAGAATTCATGAGCTAAAAACACTTGGTTTTCCAACTTAGAATATTTTGCTGATTTGTTGTTTGGGTTTCCCTACCCTTTTAGATTACTGATAAAACCACAATGGCATGATTTGCTTCCATGCAAGCTGGGAATTTGGTTTTGCCTTACGCTAAAAGCATTGCCTCATCTAATCCAGGTAAAATGTACTTCTTTCATATAATATTAGATGCTTTCATTGTTAATTATTCATTAAATAATTTATGCCCATGTCTGCTTTCTGAATGCTGATACCCAGTGTATACTTCATAATGTTGGTTGAATTTAAATCAAGTACTTTTATAAGTTAAGTCTAATTTGGATTCTAAGATTATTTACATACCTATTCCTACAATTATCCTATTTTGCTATTAAAATACCTCAGAATTCCAAGACACTGGAAAAAAAAAAAAAAGCTGTTTTGAGGACAGACATAAAAGCAGTAAAAGTTTCGTTTGTCTTTAAAGGCATAACTAGTAAAAAGGAGCCAGACTCAAGTAGCTTGTCACCTGTTGTTTTAATAGCATTTAAGTACATAATGTTAAAAAGAAAAACATTTTTTATGTGAGCTTCTGTATAATTATGCAAAAGTATATAGTGCTTTCAATTTATGTACAAGTTTAAGAGGAGTGAAGACATTTTGTCTTCCACAGGTAATCAGACTTTCTGTTTCAAGTTAGTCTTGATCAAGCAATAAAATATGGGTACATATATTTATATGGCAATTTTCCATTCTTTTATGCGCACCATACCAAGTATAGTTTACTAAATTATTGCTTTGCTAACTCAATCATTTATCTAGTTAGAAAATTCCCAACATATAAACATAATATTTGAAAGTAAATATACTTTTTGATGTACAGACTTTGAGGTTCTTTGTGATTATAGTTTTGAAGGAGCAATGTTTTATTTCAGAAAATAAGTGCTAATAAGCCAGAGAACCAGTCCTGCCCACTTTGTATTCATGTATCAGAGCTGTTTTTCATAACCATTTATGGGAACGAAAGACCTCAACTTCTGCACCCTGTTTTTGTTTTTCTTCTCATAATGTAAATCATATTTGAAGAAATAAAATGTACCAACATGCTTCTGTCTAGCCTTTAGGAAATTATTTATCAGTTTTTTCCTCAAAATAATTCATGTTAATAGTTATTTCTTACAGTCTTACATTTTGTTTAGTTAATAAAGAAAAATTGAAGTATGTTAGTAATTTAGAAACCTTGGTTTTTAAGTTGGTGAACATGACATTTATTTGAGCAAAATCCAAGTTCTTATGCACTATATCAGTAGAACAATAAGAGAGAGAGAGTATATTTAATCATACTATATGTTTGTAAGAAAATATGACAGAAATATTTCTAGGACAGATTTTCATTTTTTTGAAGTCTATTTTTGGCCAGTGCTAGAATCTGCAATACGCAAATGAGAGAACAGATGAATTTAAAAATATAATCATGAGATAGTATAAATAGAATACAACATAAAATGTCAATCTTAAACACTTATTTGTAATTTTAACCTAAGTAATTTAAAATAAAGTTTATGTGGTAAAATTAACATATTTCTATCTGCTTGTGGTATCCAGCCCTATGACTCTTTTGCTTCAGCATAAATTTTTAGAAAAGATACAAAAATAAGAAAATTTACCGAACTTCTTTGGTCTCTTTAGAAACTCTTATTTAAATAATTTGATCAATTTGACTTTTAAGGTTTTTACTTACATTATGGTGCATATTGCCTCTCAGTTTTTAGGTATTTAGGCATTAGACTTTCAAGTCCTTATAAACCTAATTTTAAAATTTTGTTCTAATTATTTCTTCCTGATAAAAGCATTATAAGAAGAAAAGGGTGATTTTTCCTTTTTCTTATACAAATACTTGATATTTTAATTCTGCTTTGGAACCATAAGATTAGTTTTTGTGGTGGTCACTAGCAAAATAATGTTATAATAGCTTCTTTCTGGTACAAGTTATAATAGTTGAAGTGTTTTAGATTTATAAACATATAGCATATGAAAGACAGCAAAACAATACTGAATAGTTTCTGTTAGGTTTAGATTTTCATTTGCTTTTTTCTCCTGTCTTTCGTGACCTTCATATTATTTTATCTTTGATAAAATCATGTAATGTGAATTTTATGTGTTTGTGTGATATTTCTATAAGGGATCTTCCTAAATAAGATAGTTGTGAAACTTAGACCTTTTAACCTGAAGCAAACAGGATTGTTAATTGGTATAGTAGTCAGAAATGGGCCCTCCTAAAGACCTCAAAATAAAAAATGATACATAGAGCCTAAACTTTTTAAACATACATTATATGTATTTACCACTCTTATAATATGAAGCCATTGTTGTATTTTTAAATAGGAGTCTACTCATTAGAGTTCCTGATCTTCTTTCTTGCATAAACTACTATACCTATAGTCGTAGTGAGAAGCTTGGAAATCTTTTTAAAGAAGAATCAGCCTAATCTGTGGTGAAGCAATATTATTGTGTAATACTTACAGAGTTTTATGATTTTCCCTAGTCTTTTACATCTGTGAGCAACATTTTTAGCAGCTCTTTATTTTGAGTTTCCCAAAGCATTAAGCTTGAGTTTCATAGAAACAACTCATTTTTTTACTAATATTTTATTATTTTACAAAATATTTAATTGGCTCATATTATTACAGTAACAAGTATAACTGACACCTGTAGGATTAAGAACTAACACAACCAGCTCTTACAAACATACAATGAATAAACAGGTATCAGTGAAGACAGTTTTACTACTGGTGTGTCTCTTGAATTTTTTGAACATTTATCTAAAACTGAACTTCAAATACCCTGTGCAAGTACATAAAAATGAAATTCTGATGGCTTCCAGCAGGTGAACTTCACGCCAGCAGAATCTGTTGTCTAATCTTGCCTTCGCAACACCCCAACTTCTGTCTTCCCTGTTCATCCTCTGTATACCCATTTCTTTACTGAACTTCACGTACATGCAAGGTTATCCAGTAAGTTTGGGAAAAGCAACAGTTTTAACCCGCCTTATAGTCTCAAGTTCTCTTGTATTATATAGCATCGAAGATTCCTGAGAAAACTCCTTATTGTCTGCTTAGTTTGCCTAAATTCTTTTCTGTCCTCCTCCACCAAAAAATCATAAATGAGAACCATCATATAAATATAAATGTTTGATATGTAAAGCTTCTTCTGGTTCTAGGTTAAAAAAATAATCCATCCAGTTCAATAAAAATATATTAAATACTTACAAAAACAAGGCACTACAAAGAGTCTAGAAAATAATGTGCCTTCTGGGCAGGCACATTACTGTCAGGTAACAGTTATAATGCATGAATTAAATGACTGTGATACAGTATGGAACAAGGAGTCACATGTGTAGTAGAGACAGTGATTCTGTAGATGTTCAGAGAAGTAAGGTTGACTCCATTTAGCACGACCAAGGAAAACTAAAAAGAGGAGACACTTGAGTGGAGTCTTAAAAGCGGTCCACTTTGTGCTGTAGGTCATATACAAAGATACTTTCATAGATACTGTATTTTCCATGCAATCAGACTGTGCTGAGGCTGAAAAAGACACTTTAAAAAAAAGAGGATATGTTGTCATCTATTTCTGTGTTCTGAGTCTATCCATTTAGGAGTTCATATTGTAAGCTGATTTGAGTAGTCTGCAAAGAACACGTATGCAGAATAAAGTTAATTTATGACATTGCAAAGTCCATCGCACATACCTGTCAAAAATATGTGTGCAGTGTTAGAAGTAGTAGATACAAAGTACCCAGTGACTATGAAATGGGCAGTAAATCCTCAAAGGGGTTCTGTGATCAGTTGTATAATATAAAAGTATCTCTCTGATACAACTCCTTGCTTTTTGAAAAGTTCCTCACACTTCCAGCATTGTTTTATTCCTATATTTTGCTCTGAAAAAGGTATGAGAGAATTATAAAAATAATAAATTAGAATAGCAGAGCTTTTATACTTGACTCCTGTTAAATATTTGATGATGTTAACATAATATCAAACATTCTCCAGATAGGTCAGTATTATAGGAAGAGATGTATAGAAATTACTACTGTATACTTAGCAAAATGTTTACCAGTATCATGCATGTACCCACAGAGGCAAAACAAAAAGAAAAAATAAACAGCTAATTAGAAATTAACAAAAAAGAATACAGGGAGTACTTGTGAACTGATAACTAGATGGAAGGCTGGTGTGCCGACAGAGCTGAGCGAGGAGTAAAATGTGTGACTGCATGCAGGGAAGTTGGTCGGCCTTCAGAAAGTATTCAGATAGCTAAGGATGCAAGTGAGGGTGATCAGCAAGAAGAAGAAAATGAGTTAGAACATATCAAGCCCTGTAGCAGGGGCTTTGAGGCTAGAATGTAACTGTAACATTACAAGTCTAGCTTCTGTAACACTTTCACATTTTACCAATCTGTTTCTGTGCATGATAATTTTGATGGGAGTATACCTTTGCTTCTCTGATGACCTAGTCCTCCATGTCAGTTGTAGTCAGCATGTAACTCCTGGAAATTATCCTGATAACCATATTGTCCTTCTGGGAGGGTGTGTGGGGTGTGGGTGTGTGTGTGTGGGTGTGTGTATGTGTGTGTGTTAAACTCAGTGCCTTGTACACGCTAAGCATGTGCTTTACCATTGAGCCATACCCCCAGTCCTGACATACTTTTTAAATCAGTCATATGTTCTATAGCCATAGAAGTGCTAAAAATTGATGAAATACAATTGATACTATGTATTTAAATTGAAATCTTATAACAATTTATTTTTACCACTGCCTACCTGTGTTGGAACCACATACATTTAGGCCACAATAATTTAGTTTGGGAAGGGGGTGAGACTGGATTTCACTGTGTAGACCAGGCTGGCCTCAAACTCACAGTGATCCTCCTGCCTCAGCATCCGCAAATGCTGGGGGATTACAGGAATTTGCCACCACACCCAGCAATAATTTAGATTGTTAATCTCATTTCTCATATAAGATCTGAAAGTGCCAAATAATGTCGAGTGAGTCCTAATTTAAGCCATATAATCACAGTTCTGTGTTCTTCAGAGATGAAATAGATCTGAAGTACTGAGAAACTATGTATTTGCTTATTAGTTTGATTTTCTGGGAATTCACTATTCACATTTCTATCTACCC